CTATAATGATGAACCAAGAAAGTTTATTTTTAATTCGTTTGGTATTCTTAATAGAGTGATATATTTAAAGCTCAAGTTTTAAACTCATTAATTTTTTTCTGTACTGGCTCCCTAATTGTGTTATGGTAAAAGAATGTTGTATTTAAAAGATGATTTTGGCATGCAGAGGGATAGGGAGATAGAAGTGATGTTAACAAAACACTTGCTGAAATGGAACATGATTTTAGATCGTTTTTCCCCTTAATAAATGGTCTTAAAATTTGTTGGGGTCTTTTCTTTGCCCCTAACTAATAGTTAGACTGGTGGTATATCTTCATGGAGGTTACTTATTCTAGATGAGTAGGCATTTGTATGGTGGATACAGAAGGGACAGGAAGGAGATCCTGACATTGGTCTAAAGCCTGTGGTAAAGCTGCTTCTCTACCTCACCCATCTTGTTTGTCAGGATTGGTTTGTACAGGGTCCTAGAGAAAACGGTTTCTCAGCATAGTCCATGGCATCTATCTTGTGAGTGGGGGAGGGAGGAGTTGGCTGGAGGTCGGTTGAGCTTGTATGTGAGGAGATGATAGCAGTGTGGTCGTGAATATTCCAGAAGGAGACTGCAGAGCTCCTGAGAATCACTTAAGACAAGAGACTGTCGGGTCTCATTTCTGTCGCTCTGTAGGCAGCACATTGTGAGGTTACAGGCAGAGTTAATTATGTGTAGCAGTGAGCCCTGCTGTTCCCATGCTTTCCTGATGCAGAAGCACACAGCACAGTGATTATTGCCTAAAACCTAATGTCCTAATTGCATGGATTTTCATGTGTAGTAAGAGAAAAGAAATCTAGATTTACAGACCTTTAGTATGAAATGCTTTTACATTTTTGATAGAGAATACATTGTAATTGCATAGAGGCATGGAGAATTTTTACCTTTCATCTAGTTGTAGCTGCCATAAGATGATGTCACCTTGCAGCTGATTGGCTGTTGCAGCACCTAGGGCAGGGAAGAGAAAGAAAAATGCCGGCACAAACCTCAGTGGTGGTTCTGTGGTTGTTTCTATCTATTTTTGATAGAATCTTTGATTAGTATCAAATTTACTGTATTTGGCCATGTGAGCTATTAGGAGCTATTCTAGGGTGAGGGAAATTCGGAGGAATGAGGCGGCTGATTTGCAAACGGATCTGTGATTGTAAGTTGCAGAAATCTGGGCATAGGAATAAGGCAGGGCGTGCTGGAAGATTGACTATGGGAGGGGCTGGCAGAAAATGCTTATATGAGCATCAAAAAAGGGAGATGCTTTGACTGCTCTAAAGTTGATATGTTTACTTTAATGTTTTGACATGTATGTGTAGGAAATATGACAATATGGTATTTTTATTTTAAATTAGAGAGGTTATTTTGTAAAGTGTTAACCATAATATAAATACTTATTCAAAGGACCTTTATTTTTTATTTTGTATAAATACCTACCTAAATAGTGATTTTTATTCATAGTTCTATTTTATTTTTGAGTCTTAATGGAATATGCAAAAAACCTAGCATCTGTTTTCTTATGCTTTGTGTAGATAAAAGCTTTGATGATGAGGAATCAGTGGATGGAAACAGGCCATCATCAGCTGCTTCAGCCTTCAAGGTTCCTGCACCTAAAACATGTGGAAATCCTGTCAACAGTGGGAGAAAGCCTGGTTCAGCAGGTGGCCCTAAGGTTGGAGGTAATGAAATCCATTTCAAGTCTATGTGCATGCTTCATGCATTGTGACACTCAGTGCTTCAGAGCAGTGTGTTTACTCATGACTGCAGCAGAAATGCAGGTCTGGAGAGAGTGTTGCAACATATAAAGTGTGTTGCCTTTTAGAAATGAATATTATAAATTGTTACTTCCAGTAAGAACGTGTATGAATTTGTGTTTCCTTAAGGGTACTTATTTTTAAGCTGCCAGCTTTAAAGGAAAGATTCAAAGTGGTTTTGGGCATGTGTCTTTTGAAGGGAGTGGTATTTCAGGATCGGGCCATTTTTGGGTATTGTAGCTGTGCTTTGAAGTGCAGAAATATAGAATGTATTCTTACAGTTGTCTAGATGTAGTAAATTAAATTCTTGAACATTTAAAATGGTTGAAGATACTGGGTTCTGAATAATTTGTCACAATAGAAATTGGGTGGTGGTCAAGTAAAACTGCCTCAAAAAATGGTTTCCGGGATTTGGTAATAATAAATAAAAAGACAGGAGAAAGCAGGTTTTTATGCAATGATGCAGCATATCCTTGATCTTCTTAGAGGTGTTTCTAGTGTATTTCTAGTATATTTTTCATATTAAGATCCCTGAGTTAGTTGACTATCTTACCAGGTGTCAGTTTCTGCTGGGTCTGTCTGATAGAATGAGCCTGTAAGAACGAATGCCTATCTGAGTGCTGGAGGTCAGTGACCTCTTAGATACACACAAATGTGTGCCTTGGTTGTATCTTGGAAACCTCTTGTTTACAGTAACTGGTGTGAAAAATCAAGGTCTTGAAGATTTTGTGTTTTTATCTTTTTGTCTATGGTACCTTGATTAAACAGAAAGGAAAGGAAAATAAAAACTGCATGTCTACTAGGTTGGTTCCATTTCAGACCAACCAAACATGCTTTCCCGGTCATGTGATTCAGAATGTAGGGATGCTGTTAGGGGTATTTCTTCTCTCTCTCTCTCTCTCTCCTTCTCCCTCTCCCTCTCCCTCTCCCACTCTCTATCTCAATGGACGGGGTCTCTGTGTAGCCCTGGCTGGCTGGAACTGGCTGTGTAGAGCAGACTTCCCTCCAACTCCCAGAGCTCCCCTGTCTCTGCTTCTTGAGTGCTGGGATTAAAGGTGTACCACCATGTATAGCTTTTCTTTAACTCTTCTTTTTTTTTTTTTTTGGTTTTTCGAGACAGGGTTTCTCTGTGTAGCTTTGCGCCTTTCCTGGAACTCACTTTGGAGACCAGGCTGGCCTCGAACTCACGGAGATCCGCCTGCCTCTGCCTCCCGAGTGCTGGGATTAAAGGCGTGCGCCACCACCGCCCGGCTTAACTCTTCTATATCATACAGTTATAAAGAAAGAATTTTAACTATTTCTGTTTTATAATCAAGAACTGTGTTCTGCAGGTACTAGTTATAATACTGTAGCATATGATGCTGTCTGTTACACACTCTGCCCTTTAGTAAGGTCCATGTGGCATTCTTTGGTTTCTTCTGTAGCAAATAGCTATGTTTAGTCATGACAGAGGGATGAAGTTCTTGATTTTTAATTACAGAATTCTAACTTGTGATAATTTCACAAAACACTAAAAATAGACTAATGTTTGAGATATGTGGCATAGTGCTTAACATCTTTACGATTCTTGACTAGTGGTTTATAATTAGTTCTGGTTTTATGAGTTAATTCTGTAATAAAATTTGAGATGGTAATTTACTTATCATAGGTCACATGATTTTCTGCTAGTACCATAACTGATTTTCTTGAAAATTAGTATGAGAAGAGTTTTCTTGAAGGACTGACTTAACCTCTCTCAGTCTGCAGTTGGTAGTTTGTAGTCCTTGTAGATAGGAAAATGTGAGGTAGGGATTGTGTCACCATCCTAGACAGTGACTGTTTTGATAAAAATTAGAAACCTTGCCTTTTCCCTCTCCCTTCTCTTCTTTCTCCTCTTACTTTTCTGCAATTGCAGAGAACTTCTTGTTTCTTTTATTTGTCCCTGCCCACTTGATTACCTGTTTGGTTGTGGGCTTTTTAAGATTATGTCTCCCTTTGTAGCCCAACCTGACCTTCAAATCGTAATTCCTTGTGCTTTAGTTATAAGCATGTGTCATCATGCCAGGCTTCCACTGCCTGTTTTTCTGTCTAAGAAACAAGCTACTGGACAGAGGATATTGATAATGTTTCTGAAAGGCTATCAGTCTTTCTTTGAAAACTTAACTGTGATGTTCTAGTGTTGGCAGACACACTGATTTTTAAATTAGCTGCTGAGAGTTTTCTTACAATTGCTGCATCATCTTTGCATTGGAAGGACCTGCCTCACAGAACTCATGACATTATCCTGAGGGGTGGCAGCCGTCACGTGATGAAAGGAGCTGGCTCCAGATCCAGTCAAGAACAGAAGTTACGTGCACTAGCTCTAGTGAGGGAATGGCTGCTTTTTACTACACGTACCAGTATTTTCTTGAAGACAAAATTGGCACTATTTGTATTGTATCATCTTATAGATACCCTTTTCCTACTTTTTTTCCTATTTTACCATGTTTTATCATGGTCTTAAATTAGTTAAAAATTATTCATGTCTAGATATTTAGATTGCCTTTATATTTTTTCTGTTGTTATAAACCATGCTGTCATTCTTTTATGTATATCTTTCAACATATCTCAGTTGTCCTTCTGTGACCTTTTTATTGTTGTTTTCTGTTAGCTTTCTTCTTTTAATTTTTAAAGTTTATTTATTTTATGTGCATTGGTGTTTCATCTGCATGTATGTCTGTGTGAGAGTGGTCCCCTGAAACTTACAGACAGTTGTGAGCTGCCATGTGGGTGCAGGAAATTGAACCCAGGACCTCTGGAAGAGCAGTCAGTGCTCTTAACTGCTGAGCCATCTCTCCAGCCCCAGTTGTTATTTTTTAGTGGCCTTGTAATGCCATGCAGGTGCCCTGTTACTGAGGCACCTCCACCATGCCTTTGGTGTTTGAGAGCAGTAGAACTAAATGACTTGTGGCAAACCAAAGAAATAATTACATTCATTCATATTTCTTTGGTAATTATCAACAGTCTCTTTGTGTTCCTCAGGCTTGTTCAGGTTATCCTCAAGCCCATTCTGTAGCCCAAGTGCTGGCCTTGAACTTTCTATCCTCCTGCTTCAACATCCTGAATGCTAGGATTATAGGTGTGTGCCACTTGTTTGACACATTGGAATCAGTTTCTGAAACTCACTGAATGAGAAGATAAGGGAATTTTAAGGGTTCTTAAATTTGGCAGTGTTCTCCAAAAGGACATAAGTCTAGTTCTGGATAAAGTAGTTCTTGAAGAATGCATATGTTCTTGCTCTCTTCATCTCCCTCTTTTCCTATCCTCTTTCACCTCTTATGAAATATTGTTTATATTCCTGAAGAGCTTAAGTACTTTATTATCTTAGTTTTACTGATAAACAGATTGTAGTTTGGAGAAATTAAGTAACCTGCCTAGAGTAGAATATTTAATAAGGACAAAGTATAAAAGTCACCTTGCTGTTATCACCACACACTCTTCTCTGTTGATAAGTAGGGTTTGCTGATCATGTGCTCCGAACTTCAGCAATGATCAGCAGCCCAGTGTCAAATTAGAGCTTAGTTAGTAGGACTCCAGCAGACAGTAAGCAAACCTGTGACGTTTACATTGTAAATGTAAAGACCGTTACATATTTTCTTGTTGAAATCTGGTCTTCTTTGGTATATTTTAGTTTGGGGTTGTTTCTTTTTAATGGTTGCCTGGAGCCCAGGCTAGCCACCAACTTGCTATGCAGCCAAGACTGACCTTGAAAGCCTGATCTTCCTGCATGCACTACCATGCCTGGGTTTGATATTGCTTTCAAAGTTTGCTTTCTGAGTTATAGTAGCTCTGTTCCTGTACCAGTTGTTTTTGCTACTATTCATTTTTTAAAATAAGAGAAGAATTGGGTGGTGGTGTAATTTCATTGTTTATAATTAGTATTAGATTTTAGATATTAGTATTGGATATTAGTTAGTAACTTATAACATCGACACACCACTGAACAAATCCTGTTTTCAAAAGTTGTTTGTCTTTTCTTTTTTGGTCACTCATTTAGGTGAACAAAGTGTTTTCTTTCTGTTGTTTTCCTTTAATATCAAAGACTACTTAAAATTGTTTTAGCTAGTCAGGCGGTGGTGGCACACACCTTTAATCCCAGCACCTGGGAGGCAGAGGCAGGAGGATCTCTGTGGGTTTGAGGCCAGCCTGGTCTACAGAGCGAGACCCAGGACATGATCTGAAGCTACATAGAGAAACCCTATCTCAATCAATCAATCAATCAATCAATCAATAAAAGTTTGCTTTAGCTACACAACCTCAGCACTCCCCTGGAAGAAGTACACCCTGAGCAACACAGCAGGTCAAGGCCAGCCTGGAGCTGCCTCGAAAAATAAATAAATAGTAGTGTTAGCATTAGTTATTAGATAAGTACCAGCATCTCACAGTCAGTAGTGCCTATTCAGTCCTCAGTTTCCTTTATTTATATGTGGCCTGAGATTTTTTCAGTAATTTCTAAACACCCACTTTGTACAGGTGATGCTAATCATTCCCATTCCCCAGCATACAAGGAAGACAGTTGCCTTTTCTTTTAAATAAATAAGCATGACAGGAATCACACATAATTAATCTCCAGTTATTTGTTGTTGACTATAATGCAAAATTTTACTAATGGATCTCCATTTCCTTGTGATGTAGCTCAGCTGGTGGAGTACTTGCTTCACATGCATGAACATCATATAAACTCATGAGCTCTGACCTTCTGGCACTCAGAAGTTCAAACTAGACTGGGCTGAGATCACCCAAATAACATTTCTGTATGTGTGCTTTGGTTTTATTTTCCTTCTCTGTTCCTCCCTTGATGATGGGGAACGATCTTTGACTCAGAAGATTTTAGCACTAAGGAGGTCTAAAGGATGTTCTGGCCTTATATTCACAGACAGAACCTCAGAGTTGAATGTTTTCCCCAT